GCTAGGCGCCCGTGCGCTCGCGCCGCCGCCCAGCTGCCCGCGTCCCCGTCTCGATTGTGTCGTGTCCTCCAAAGTGGACTCACATGCTGTTTCACCAAACTGAAAAAGAACCCTCTCTGCCCAGGTTCTTCCTCCAAGCTACTGCCTCATTTTCTGCTCTTTATATCAACCCTCTTTAAAGAGATTTCTATTCTTGCTACCACTGATTACGACCCTCCCCTCAGAGACGCCCCGTGTCCCCGGCACTGGCTTTTTCCCCCCAAGAGCCACAAGACTCATCCCCTCAGCTCCAAGTCTTTGCTTACAGGTCGCTTTCTCAGCAACAGGTACCCAACTGAATATCCCTGAACTCTACCCCCGAGACCGCCAGCACTCTGAACTCTCCTTCCCTTTCTTTTTTACAGCATTCATCACATTCTAATATACTATTTAGCCACTGTTGTTTTTGTGTGTAAGCTCCATGAAAAAGGGATTTTTGTCTGTTTTAGTGACTGATTCATTCAAGTATTTGTTAAAAATAAATGAATATTAAGTGTTGGCTGTTTTACAATATTTTATTCGTGTATCTTTTAAGGTGTGAACCCAGCAAATCAGAATAAAACATACAATTTACTGAGCCATCCCCATACATACTGTCAAAATTAATGCTACAAAAAATGTGTTCAAAAATCTAAATGTTAAATTACATTAATTTACAAAAAAATGTAAATCTATTCGTAAGATTTACAAAAGGGGGTTACAGGAATATATTTTAAAATTTAACAGAAAATGCCAGACTATCAGGAGAGACCATAAATGGGACAAAAACGAGTTATATCTAAAACTCAACCAGATACCTTAAATATCCAATAGAATTACATGGTTTTAAGAAAAAAATGAAAGAATATAGGGCGTAAGAGGGGGAAAAATATATTTTCACATCTTAATATAGTCAGAGATACAAAATTCAATCCAGTGATCAAGCTGGATGGGCTGGTAGTAGACTCCTGAGAGTGTAAACAGGAGTCACAAGACATAAATATCACCTGAAGTCAGGGCCAGGTTCCTGAGTGAATGAAGTCACTGGACACAGCAACTACAACCCGATGGATTCACTGTCCTACCTGAGTCACCAACGAGAAGGCAGCCAGAATCCCAGGCTTTGGTGGTGAGTAACCTCAATTAACACCCTTCCCTAGCAGGCACATTACCTCAGTTAAATGGACTGGCAACGGGGTTTCTGAAGTGGATATTTAGCTTTTAACCCTCGGATTAATTAAATTAAAACCAGGGTATTAATACTTAGGACGTTAGGAGGAAAGTGAACGTTTTGGGTGTTTACACATACTTGCAACGTTTAATGTTTTAACTCCAATTCAAAGGTGATAACAACTGATTTAGATTGTGACCGTATCAGACTACGAGAATTTCAGGCTCATCATATTTATAAGTTTGAAGCATTAAATTTTTAAAAATTAAGAATTAAATTTTTAAGATTTAATTGTCAGAACATGCAGCTGAAGTATTTTCAAAGGAAATCAAATATATAAGACCTATAAGCCATTTTAAAATGTGGCGAAGACGATTCATCTAGGTTGTAAATGGAACCAAGTGTTGTTCACAGGCCCCATAAAAATGCTACACTTCCCCCTACACTTGCATATGTAACAGTATCATTTGCCTAAAGAAGAATTAATGTTTGATTTTTTTAAATCAAAAATAATGCAATATTATTTAAACCAAAGTTGAGGTCTTAATACCCGTTTCTAAGTATAAAAACAGTCCTGTGGGCACTATAAAACTCCCATCAACAATGACCTTCCCTAAAGGGCTGTAGACAACCATCGCACAGCACGATACAAAGGTGCCCGCTTCCAGGCCCCTGGCCAACACTGTCTGATGCAACCCTTCAAGCAAACCTCTGTCAATGTGACTGAAGAAAAGAGATTTTATAATTGCGCTGACTTGCACCTACGCCTGGCTTATTAATGAAGGTGCACTGGCGGTCAGGATTTCCTCTTTGTGAACTGCCTGCTCTTAGATTTTGCCATTTTTCTCTCAGGTTGTCTGTCTTATCACTTATTAAGAGAAGATCTTACTTCCTCTAGATTATATTTTCCTAGGTTTTTTCCTAATGTCTATTGTCTTTTTACTTTTTAACTTTAACTGACTTGCCATTTCTGTTACATGATAGGAAGGAGAGGTCTGATGCTATTTGCTAACAGATAAATAACTAAATTACACCCAAAATTTTAGTTACACATTAAGTTCTCATATATATTTGGATCTATTGCCATCTTAGTTCTCCCGTTCCTCTGATTTATTGGAAACTCCAATTTTTTGTGGCTGTTCTCAAAACTCACATTTTTTTTCCTTTCTAGCAAATTCATAAGAAGTTAGTTTTTCAGTTCAGATTTCCCATCATGGTTCCCATTTTAGCTCTACTCTACAACTGTCTGATGTGCCTCTATGGCTCTCCAAACAACACAGCCCCAAATAAGTACAGTACACAGACTCTAGAGCCAGTCTGTCAGCCATCACATTAATAACCATCAACCTCTGGCAAGCGGCTCATCTATTTTGGGCTTTAAGTGTCTTCATTTATAAAATAAGGGAAATGACATCACCTACTTCAAAAAGTTGCTGAATGAGCCCTGGTGGGTGTGGCCCAGTGGCTAGAGCATTGGGCTGCACACCGGAGGGTGTTGAGTTCGATTCCCCATCAAGGGCACATACCTGGGTTACAGGTTCAATCCCCACCCCCAGTCGGGGTAGGTGCGGGTGTCTCTCTCACATTGATGCTGAGCTCTCTCCCCCTCCCCACTCCCTTCCGCTCTAACAATCAATGGAAAAATACCCTCCCTCCTCAGGTGAAAATAAAAGAAAAGGTTGCTGAATGAATTCAATGAGATTATTTTACTTAAAAGCATAACACTTTGCACATAAGTACACAAGAAATTTAATTATTATTTATTTTTAGAACAAGTTATAACACATTTAACTATGTCTACTGTATGACACAAATTAGCAAAATTAGATCTAATTCAAAACTACCTTTGTTCTCATTAATGTCACCTTCATCCGTCCCTCCCAGTTTGTCTCCTGAGCCTAAGGACAGGGCAGTGACTTCCTGTGCTGAAAGTCCACAGCACCTAGCCTACCTCCTCTCCCTCTGGGAGTTTGAGAGTTTCAAGCTCTGGGAAAAGCATGTGATGTGTGTCTGGGAGAGTAAAAAGAAATTGGAAACTGCTGGTTTGTATCATCGGCGACCTGTAACTTAGCTTTTAACTCATCTAGTCACCTTCAGCCTCTCTCCTTTAACCAAGCTCTGCTATTCCACTGGGCCCAGCTTTCCAAAGACACATTTTATCAGATCACCTCCCCCATGACCATCGCGAATCTAAAATGAACCCACTACCATATGACAACTCCCCTGCCTGGCTTTCAAAGGCGACCTAACTTGGTCATTCCCAACCTCACAGGTCATCCTCCAACGATGTGTCCGCATCTGGTGGCACCTCACACTGTACGAGACAACCACCACCTAGGAGACACTTTTATTAGCCAAAACTACTACAGTCAAGTATTACAACAGAGTCGAGAGGAAAGCTGCTTTTCCTCTTTCTGAAAACCTGAGTACACCGGCCGACAGGCCCCCTCGTGGCCTCTCTTCATGAATCAAAAGGTCCCAGTCAGGAAAATGGCAACCTCACTGGCCAGTTTAAGTATATCACAAAATAAAATCTGCCTGACCCGAGCTCAGAACAACCCGCTGCTTCCTCAGATCTTAATCCTGGGCCGCAAATCCCCCGTATGGTGTTTTCCGTCCAACAGTCTCCTTAATGGGAGACAGTGAAACCGAACAGGAGCTGGGCCTCCACCAGTGGACCCTGAAGACCTTACTCTTCTTACTCGAAACATTTCTTGCTAATTTCCATTCAAAATGGCAGGCAGAGCTACCACAGTGCGCCGCCCCTCGCACGCCACAACCATGCCCGTCACACACCGTCTCCACTGCACAGCTGGCCTCACCATGCGGCCTCGCCGAACACGCTGCTTGGCGGGCATCCACGCAGCCAAACCCGGGAACGATGACACCAGGTCTGTTATGTCTGCCCCGCGTCTCTTCATCTCGGCATCTGCCCCCTTCCCACTCCACGAACTCGGCAGCGCCCTGGGACCCACCACCCTCACCAGGGGAGAGGGAGCATATCCAAGGGAGGGCATATGGGGAACTAAAATGAGCCCCAGGAGAAAAAGGTTTGCACTTATTTCTCTAGGACTGCTGGTCCTTAGGACTTTTTAATTTTTAATGTAAGCCCAAAACCAATGACCCTCTTTTGCCCCACGTGAACACAGACGGCCTGAGAATCACAGAACCACAGAAGAAAGCAGAACGTTGTAAGGGGGAAAGGGCTGGACACTTAGAGGAGATGGGGTGAGCGGGGGAGTAAAGACAGGGTTTGAGAAAAGCATGAGAAGGCAGAGACATATAGGAACATCCTTCTAGGTCAATCAATACAACTGTGCATAATTCTTTGTAATGACTGGCTACACAGTATCCATTAGATCAATTTCCAACCTTTTTCATCTCATGGCACATAAACAAATTATTAAAATTCTGCAGCACACCAAAAAGTATATTTTTTCCCAGTCTGACCAAAAAATAGGTATAGTTTTGATTCACTCCCACCGGACAGCTATTGTTGTGTTGGCTGTTGTCATTTTTTAATAAGGGAAAAGAGGTCAGTGACCCTAATTAAATAGTCAGGTTTTGCATGTTTTAAAAATTCTCACAGCACACCAGTTGAAAATTGCTGCACTAGATGGAAGTAACCTAATTTGATCTCATAGTGGACATTTAAATCGTTAGCACTTTTAACTATGATAAAACATAAAATGGATGTGATGTATTCTAAGCATATATAATTGTGTAGATATCTACATATTCAAGAGGTCGTTTCTGCAAAATTGGGATGGTGCGCATTCAGAAATTTCAGGACAGATTTACTCACCCACGGAACGATAGCTGCCTGTCTTCAGGTTGTGCACACAGACAGCACTCGATGCCCCACACTGGGGAATACCCACGTTTCCACAGACGCTGATTTTGTAAAGCATGTGATTTTTGGTATCAACAGCTTCCCATGTGTAACTAAAAAGGAAGAAAAACAATTTGTCATTGTCAGTGATCTGCCAATAATTAAACTTCTCTCTAGTATTACATTCAAGCCACATTTGCTTAAGACTCCCACAACTTTCATTAGCCAAAAATACTGAAGCCAACTACGTCAAGTTGACCAGAAGCCAGGGCAGAAACCACTAAATACCACCTTGCTCTGGTTCAATCCGCCCCGAAGCCACCTCAACACTCAGCGATCATCAAAATTCTTAAAATTCTACCGTCCACTTAAGAGTATCAACTCAGATAAGTAACTGCTCAAGAATCGTGTTGATATAAGACAGTAAGCGTTCAAATCACTCTGGAATGCTGAAAAGCCAAAGAGTGTGTTTTTTTACTTTGTTTATTTTATTTAAAAACTACTTGTGGCATGAAAGACAGTTCTACTTCTGGTTTTACTTTTTACTGCTCCAGCTCAGATCGGAACTGACAAGATGAAGTTGTGCAACGAGTCCACTATCTGACTCAAAATCAGACTGACTTTATTTAGGTTGAGCACCGCGACAAGCATTTCACAGGCATTAAAACACACCGTATGCACCCTGGCCGGATGGCTCAGTGCTTAGAGCTTCTGCGCCGAAGGCTCGTGGGTTCAATTCCCGGTCAAGGGCACATACCTAGATTGCAGGTTCGCTCTCTCTCCCCCCCACC